CACCGGGAGCGGCCCGCTGTGCTGGCAGGAGTTGCGGTAGAAGTGAGAAGCCGCCTCCCGCAGCCGGGCCGGGCTGCCTGGGCTCCCCCCGGCTCTGCGGGGTCCCGGGGCTGCTCGGCCGGATCTCGGGCCGCCGCGGCCTTTTAACCAGTAGCACCAGAGCAGCCGGGATGGAAGGGGTCGGTGCAGGAGACCTTTGGATCCTGGAGAGTTGTCTTTGCTCGAGTGTTTGTGAGACGAGGGGAGAAAGTTGCTGAAAAAGTGCTTGTCTTTTAGAAGTAGTTCTTGATGTCCCACCCCTGAGGACTCGTTAGTCATGTGGTGTTGAGCTTTGTGATGTGAGAAGTTTCCCTCTAAGCAAAAAGCAGCCTGTGCTATTCCCTTAAAGCTAAATTTTCTTGAGGGAAATAGGCCCGGTGAATGGAAGAGGTTTCTCGTCATCATCGAGATGACTGTTAACATGCAGAAACCACCATACCCTAATGGGCAAGGCTGTGGAGATCTGCTGAAACATCAGTCATGTCCTGACTGACACTTTTGATGTGATTATTTTTAAATGGGCATCAGGCTTTAAAGACAGAAGCAACTGCTTAACGACTAACTTGAGCAAGTTGTGCGGTGACAGAGGAGCTTATAAACACTGGAGGGCAGGCGTAAAGCCTGACTTTTGTTTATGTTGCTGTCCCAGAGCCCTGTTGGGAAATATTTAGTGTCATTTGTATAGACCGAAATCAACAACTTTAAATGTAGAACATAGTTTTGAAACAGCTTCAAATTCCAAAGCTGGAATAGTGTGTTAAAATTCCCCATATCTTCTTATGCCAGAGTCTCTCTGGTCCATTATCTCATCTTAATGTGTTTATGTGGTGTCTTAATGGTGCAGCCCTCTCTGTGGTGCTGCTTTCAGGAGTCAGTGCAGTAACACGGTTACAGGGTGCTGATAAGGATTATGTGGCAAGATCTCAGATCCTAAAAACCGATGCCATTTAAGCCTGTAAGTGCACATACTTCCCTCGATGATCATCCTTACCTGCAGCTCTCAGGGGAGGCAGGAGCAATGGGTTAGGCACGATGCAGTGTGGAGCCGTTTTCATCGAGGATGTTTCCCCAGAGCTTGTGTTGTGCAGGGACATGAACACACCCCCGGGCTGTTGGAGAGCAGCTTTGCCCAGAGCTGTCTGGGGAAGGCAGGGAGCCCACACCTTTCTCTGGAAGCTGCCTTTTGCTTCTTGGGAAGAGCTGTTGTTGCTGTATCAAGTGAATAACTACAAAGCTTGGGGGATTTTTGTTGTTTTAAGTTTGTTGGTTGGTTTGGGGTTTTTTTTGGGTGGGTTTTGGTTGGTTTGTTGGTTGGTTTTTGTGTTGTAACAATCACTTGCTAGTCAAAGACAACCTGATTGTCAGAGTAAATGCAAATTGGAGTCTTTGCTGATGAAACCTGAGTGTTCTGCTGAGGGATTATGTGGAGAATGTCCAGAAGGCTTAGAAATCGTGGTCTGTGAGGAAGGAGTTAAGTAACAGGATTCATTTAGTTTAGGGGTGGATTAGAGAAGTTGCACATGTTCTCAGGTATTTTAAAAGTGGCTACAAAAGGCAGAGGGGATGTGGGGAAACTCTGTGTTATGCTCTAGAGCTACGGGGATCAGGATTTAAGTCACACCAGGGAGGCTTTGGTTTTATGTTGGAGGCCTGGGGTTCCTCTGCCTCCACGTGCAGCCTCCACAACTGGAGATTCCAAAGGCCAGGTTAGACAAACACGTGTTAGGACTGGATCTTCCCCCGGGCAGAAATCTGATCTCCAAACATCTCCATCCTTTGTGAGGGAAAGTTACGCGCTCATACCAGATCTAGCACTGTTCTCCTGCCCTGCCCTGCTGAGAAATGGAATCATCTGTCATGTTCCCATCACAGGTTACACTTCTCTCTGTAAGCCAGAGGAAGGAATAGAGATTCCCACCCCTCTCTCTTCTGGCTGTGGGAGGATGAGGATAACACCACTGCCAGCCACCCTTTGATCCATCTTGGCATCTTCCCATGCAGGGTTCTGGTGCTCCTCTGCTGGAGGCTGAGCTGGGCTGGGTACCTGCAGGTGAAGCAGGGACTGCAGGAGTGTGTGTTCAGAGTTTTCACCCAGTAATTTAAATGGATTTAATTTCTGTCTGGCCCTCTAAATCAGGAGTGGGAAGGGCATTCCCTGAGTGGAGAGTGAGTAGACTTCCAGAGCGCTGGGGACAGTCATGTTTGCAAGTTATTGCAGCACTAGCTGTTGGGTCAGTTGTGGACTCCTGTCCATGGGCAGTGAACTGATGTTTTTTGACTTTGGAAGGTGAGCACACTATGGCACAGGAACAAGATGGCCTTTTGTCCATTCTGAACTGCAGTGTGAAGCTGTCAGATGCTAGTTTTCATGCCATGCTTGTAGGTTGTCCTTGGATAGAAAGGTTTGGGTTTTTTTCTTGTTCAGTTTCAGCCATGCAAATGGCCTGAAAACCTATGACAGTTCCTGGAGCAGTGGAAAACTTAGATGGGGGGGGATGTAATGCCGAGAGGGATGGGGCTGTGCAGTGCGTGTCCTGCCCGTGGAACTGTGAGGACACTGCCATGGGGTCAGGGGTTGCACCTCAGCTCTGTCATGGCTTGGAGATTTAAAGCCTGTCAGTTACAGCTACCAAGCTAGAAATGAGGGTGGTCGATAAGGGCTGAGCTGTGCCCTGCCATCCGACATGGGCCATCCCAGCACTGGTGACATGTGGTCTGGGCTGCTGCTCCTGTGCTTAGTTCACTGAAGGTGCCAACAGAGACTTCTCCACACCCCTGTGTTCCTTACTGTTCCTAGCAGCTTTGCCTAATGTTATATTTCAACAGTTACTGTATTTAAAGTTTAAAACACCGTGGGTTTGGTGGCTGCACAGTTTGTTACTCACAAAGAGGTTCACTTAGAGCCAGGTAGCTCAACAGCTGGTGTGCTGGCTGCCTGCCCATGTGAGCTGGCTGGTGGTCACTCCTGTGCTCATACCCAGCAAAGTCAGGGGGAGGGTCACCCTTGCACCAGGTGCTGTGGCTCAGGCAGCTTTAGTTCTTATTTTACACAATAAAAGCTTGTATGTGTGCATGTGTGGCTGTTGCCCTGTGGGCCCAGTTCTAACATGGTTTGCTGTTGACCCCACGCAGATACGGCTTGCAGGTCATGGAGAAGGTTCTCAAGATGGCTGAAGGCATCGATATTGGGGAAATGAGGTCGTATGAGTTGGTCCCTGGCAGGAAGAACAAGAGATCCCACTCTCCATCTGACAGTGAGTATGTCTGCCTCTGCCAGAGGAGATGCCCTTCCCTAGGCTGGTTGGGGGGCATTGGGAGGAGCATGGGGAGAGCAAAGCACAACAGGCTGCCTCGGAGAGCCAGCACAGCCAAATCTGAGAGGCAACTGTGATGTCTTCTGCTAGACTGCAGCCCTTTCTGCCCCTCTGCCATGCTGTGGGCTGTACGTAATTAATGCAGGGTTCTCTTTTTGCTTAGAAAGTATAATTTTTCAGTGAAATTACCAGGTAATTGATTTTCCGTAGTGATAGCGTTAGGGAATTGAATCTGTGTAATTAAGTATCTGTCTGCCCTTCTTGACTGTGGTGAGGGGTCATGTTCTGACCTGAGAAGAGATTGTACATTTGCATGAAGATGTGGAGTTCAGCTTATTGATTTAGTTATGACCTACCTAGAGCACTGGGTGGTGGTATTGGGGTTATTTGAGGATTTTTTCTCCCTAATGAGCCTGAAAGAGTCCTGCATATGTCAGCTCAGTCCCACAGTCTAAGGGGTCTGTGTTGTAACTTTTCCAGTGGCAGAAGTGAAGCAGGGAGGGAGGGCTGGCAGTTTGGTGGCTCCATCTGCCGGTTCCTGTGCAGCAGCTCCAGAGCTCCCTGCCCTCTGTACAGAGGGAGGAGCAGGGAATGGTTCACGGCTGCAGGAGCGGGCAGGGGGTGCAAGCAGACAGGCTCTTGCTTTGTGAGGCAGTCCTTGGTAGTTTGGCTGTTTAAGGCATGAATGCTCACACAGCACAGGACTCCTCTTGCCTGGGTTGTAATCCCAGCTCTGCCAACCTGTCTTCCTTTACCTTGACACCCAGAAATCTTTCTGAGCTTCCACAGGCCACCTGCAAAACTGAGAAAAATCCTGCTTTTCTCCCATGTTTTGCCTGTCTCCCAGGCAGCAGGGGATGGGTTATCTATTGCATGTTAACACAGACAGCATAAAGAGCTGTTAGGCTGCTGGGAGCCATTAGATGTTGCTGCAGTGCAATCATCAAAATACCAGGCTGGGCAAGAAACTTAAACCTTGCCATAACTTGTCACATCTGGTGACCAAAGGATTTAACACCTTGTCACCTGATTTAAGTATGAAGGCCTACTTATGCTGTATGGAAAGTGATTTTTCATCTGCAGTGAGCTAGGCTATGGTAAAACATTTTTTGCCTGGGTTGTAATCCCAGCTCTGCCAACCTGTCTTCCTTTACCTTGACACCCAGAAATCTTTCTGAGCTTCCACAGGCCACCTGCAAAACTGAGAAAAATCCTGCTTTTCTCCCATGTTTTGCCTGTCTCCCAGGCAGCAGGGGATGGGTTATCTATTGCATGTTAACACAGACAGCATAAAGAGCTGTTAGGCTGCTGGGAGCCATTAGATGTTGCTGCAGTGCAATCATCAAAATACCAGGCTGGGCAAGAAACTTAAACCTTGCCATAACTTGTCACATCTGGTGACCAAAGGATTTAACACCTTGTCACCTGATTTAAGTATGAAGGCCTACTTATGCTGTATGGAAAGTGATTTTTCATCTGCAGTGAGCTAGGCTATGGTAAATACATTATGGTAGTGTGGTGTCTAGACAGATGTGTTCCCTGACCTATATTACAGTTGGACACATTGGCATTGGGTTAGGCAGCTTGTTCCTAGGCACCGAGGTGGCCTTTTGTTCTGCTGATGAAGTTACACCATGAACCTCTTCAGCCTGTGGGACTAACTCGTTCACAGGACATGTCTTGTATAACCTTCTCTTAGGTGTAAGGTATTTGCTTATCAGCTGTTTGATTCTCGTTTTCTGCAGTAGCTGTGCATATCAGGATATTCTGCCTCATTTGCATTTCTTATGGATAAAAAAAAAAAGAGGTCTACCTGCAGCCCAGCAGCAGAGTTGGAGCTGAGACTCTAGTCCAGCTCTGATGTTCTATCTTACTACTGGCCCTAGCTTTGACTTGTTTTAGTAGCTTTGAATGGATTAACTTGAGAAACGACTGGATAGGTTTGGTGGGCAATGTTGGGGGGCAGAGCAAGTGACTGGGATCTAAAATCCATATAACTGAGTATGTAGAGATTTTTGTATGGTAGTTTTGGAGCTGGAAATACCACTGTGGTGACCTGTAAGAGAATGGATGGCTTTATCTGATCAATTGTGAGTGTCTTTGGAAGGTTCACAGCTAAAAAGTGGGGATCCTATGTTCAGAGCCTGCAGGCTCCTCCTGGGGATCACTCTGAAAACACTGCCTCCCTGTAATAGCACATATTGGTAATCTTGTAATTTTGTTCCACCCTGCAGGTCCAGAGCCAGAGCAGATGTCTGAGCCACCCAAAAAGATGGCCCCCAGGTTCCGGGTGCGACCACGTTTTGAACCCATACACTTTGTCACCAGTGCTGAGAAGGGTGACAAGAAGGAGGATTCTCTGGATAACCAAATGCAGGAGGTGAACCAGGAGGCAAACACAGACAGCATAATGCAGCCAGCTGAAAATTGCACCAATTCTCTTGTGAGTGTGCAGGAAGCGGATCTCCAGCTCTCCAGCTCAGCTGGGCTTGGCTTTGCAAGCCAGGCAGCAGCAGCCAAGAAGGCTGTGAATAGCATGGACTCTACCACAAGCAGCGTGATGCAGGTTTCTGTTTCTCCTTCAACTGCCCAGTCTGCATCAGAGACTTTCCCTCCATCAGCTATAATGCTGAAGCAGAGTTTTATTGAGAAACTGTCAGCAGCTGTCTGGAAAAACCTTGCTAACCCAGATGCAAACACTGGGACTGAAAAAATTAACTTTACGTATCTTTTGACACGTTCAATTCAGGCTTGCAAGACAAATCCTGAATATATTTATGTTCCTCTAAAAGAGATTGCCCCTGCTGACCTCCCCAAGAACAAGAAGCTCCTAACAGATGGCTTCGCTTGTGAAGTGCGATGCCAGAACATCTACCTGGCCACCGGTTACGCCGGCAGCAAGAATGGATCCAGGGATCGGGCTGCAGAGCAGGCAGTCAAGCTGCTGAAGAAGTCTGTGGAAGTGAGAGTTGTTCAGCGGAAGTTCAAGCACACCTATCACGAAGACTTGGTGGTGTGTGAGGCAGGCCTGAGTCGCCCAGATTTCCCTCCTGCTCTCAAACCCCATGAGGAGTTTGTAGTTGCCAACAGGGACTGTGTCCCAGTGCAGCCTGGTTCTGAAGCTGCAAAAGGTCCTAATAACACCAACAAACACTGGACTAGTTTTGTCCTCACAGAGAACGCCAGCGATGCAATAGGAATACTTAACAATTCTGCCTCATATAACAAAATGTCTGTTGAGTATAAATATGAATTAATGCCCAACCGCTTGTGGCGTTGTCAGGTGTATCTACAGGATCACTGCCTAGCCGAGGGGTTTGGCACCAAAAAGACCAGCAAGCACGCAGCAGCTGAGGAGGCCTTGAAAATTCTGCAGAAGATGCAGACAAATCTAGCAGCCATCAAAGTGACCCAGGTTCAGAAAGTCGGCTGCTCATCACGGGGCTCCGGAAGGAAGAAGGACCTGAAGGACCTGGTGATTTATGAGAACTCCAGCAATCCCGTGTGTACCCTGAATGACACCGCCCAGTTCAACAAGATGACGGTGGAGTACGTCTTCGAAAGGATGACGGGCACGCGGTGGAAATGCAAGGTGATGCTGGAAGATGAATTTATTGCAGAAGCAGTTGGAGTGAAGAAATCTGTCAAGCATGAGGCAGCAGAGGAAGCTGTGAAAATCCTCAAAAAGACTCAGCCAACTGTTGTTAATAACCTGAAGAAAGGAGCTGTTGAGGACGTCATCTCCAGAAATGAGATTCGGGGTCGATCGGCAGCAGAGGCTTTCAAACAGAAGATCAAAGAAGATAACATTGGGAATCAAATTTTAAGAAAGATGGGCTGGACAGGTGGTGGCCTAGGGAAAGCTGGTGAAGGAATCAGAGAGCCCATTTCAGTGAAGGAGCAATTCAAAAGGGAGGGACTTGGGCTTGATGTAGAAAGGGTGAACAAAATCGCTAAGAGAGATATTGAAGAGATCATTCGAAACTATGCACGCTCAGAAAGCCACATTGACTTGACTTTCTCTAGAGAACTGAACACGGATGAGCGGAAGCAGATACATCAGATTGCCCAAAAATATGGTCTTAAAAGTAAATCTCATGGGCAGGGCCACAACAGATACTTGGTGGTCAGATCTTTTGGACCAGCTGAAGCAAGAAGGCCAGGTTGGGCATTATGAGCTCATTATGCCTCAGGCAAACTGAGGTGAGGTGTCCCATTTTACCAGAGACTGAGCTTCCTAGGTATTCAATTAAAGAAAGAGATGCTGCATTTCTCTTGTGGGTTATATTAACGTTAAAGTCTTTTACTTCGTTAATATAATTTCTAAAATGTTAGACATTTAGAACTGACCAAGTTCTATTCATGTGTATTAGCACAACTCAAAAAGCAGTAGTGCTGTTACTGTGTCTTTGATATTACTTCTTCCTTCACATTTTAATAGTTTTGTAATAGCAAAAACACATGTCCAACAAGAATGAATTCAACATCATGTACAATTATAATTCCCTTATTCTTCTTGATCAAGGAAGGAAAAAAAATGTCTTTTTTTTTTTAAAAAAAAAACACATTAAAATCATAAAAAAGCAAAGGAAATGCAGTCTGAAGGAATAAACCTTTATGTAAAGTTGGTATTAATGACAATAAAGTTTTATTTCTGGAACAAAACAGGATTTGACACACTTTGTGTAAAAAAATTGTGAAAACTGCATTTCTTACTGAGAAGTAGTGATAGTGAGGTTCTGTCTGCTGAGTATTTGTGTGGAGAGGTGTCCTCTACCAGTTCAACAGCACGGATTTATTCAGATTTCTACCTTGATTCTCCCATTCTGAGAATTACTGAATGCACCTAAAGTATTGCTGTCAGACCAGGATCCTGCTGGTGCATCTTCACTGCTGGAGATGTGCCAAGACCACGGGGAGGTGTGAAATATAAAAACTGGAGGTAAAGGCCGAGCCCACGCTCAAAGATGCTCCTGTAGTCTGTGGGGACTGTTATATAACTTATTTTTCTACTTGGAATTTAAGCTCTTTAATCCTGAGCAGACTCAAATCTCTGCCTCATGATGTCTCTGCTCCGTTACTGTACCTGTGCCTGCTGCGTCCAGGGCGAGTCACCAGGAACCGCTCCCAGATGCTCCAGAGCTGTGAGTCCCTCCAGGCCCAGCAGGCACTGCCACCCGAGCACTGCTCACCTCCTGGGGAAGCAGACTCCAAGACTCCAGCCTCTGCCTATGCCCTTCTGCCAGCTGTGCCTTGTGAGCCTTCATGCTTGGAAAACAGGGTAGGGATTGACCTGGGAAGAGCCAGGAGCTGTGGGGTGTTTCCTGTCAGTGGCAGGGCCAGCTTATGGTGCTTTAGTGCCAAACCAGGCCAAGGAAGTATTTCTCTGGGCTCCTGTTGGCTCGTGTTTGTGTTTTTCTGCTGCTTGTATTTGCCCCTCAGTCTTTTATCATCCTCTAGCATTCTTCCCACTGCCTGTTTCCTTTTTAAATACTCCTGGTGCTGAAGAGAGGGTGACTGACAGCACCTGATGGAGCAGGATGTGCTGGTGATGTGCAGTTGGAGACATTTTCATCCCCACAGTGTGACAAGGAAGCAGCTGTCCTGGCAGGTAAGATGGGCTCAGAAAGATGGGAGTGAGCATTCCCTCCTAGCCTGGAGGGCTGCAGCACATGGAACTTTTCACAGGGAAACATGCTGCTGCTGGCTTTGTAGAAAATGAGCTGGCAGTTAATGAGCGAAATGTGTTGGGTGTTTCTTGGTTTTGTTGTTTTGTTTTTCCTTGTGTGCACTAGTCCGTCCTTCCCAAATTCTGCTCAAGAATACTGGGCTCTAGCAGATGGTGCTGTAGGAGTGGAAGAAGCCTGGTACTTTCTAGGCAGCTATTCCTGCAAGCGGGAGTGCAGCTCCCCCTCCCTAACGGGTATGCAGCAGGGCTTCAGAGCCTGGGGCTGCCAAGAGAAGCAGGGAGAGCAGCCCTGCAGCATTTGGGATGAGAAATGCCTCTTTTGGGATAGGGATGCTGGCTAAATGTTGTACTGGCATTGCCCCAGGAGTGGGTGTCTGGCCCCAAGCTACGCAGGACAGTTGCTTTCCCTGCCCAGGATCAGAACTGTGATTCTTGGCCACCTTTGCCATGTGCTGTCTGTGCAGGGGCTGTCCCCTGCCTTGCTGCTTGGTGGGTGTGGTGGCTGTGAGGTTGATGGTTGCACTTGATCTTAGTGCTCTTTTCCACCCATGACAATTCCTTGATTCTGTGACTGACTGGGTGGTGTCTGAAGCACTGCCAGCCCTTCCTGCTCCCCTGGTTATGGAGCCAAAGCTTTCTGGAGAGCCAGCAGAGAGTTTAAAGTGCAGTTAGTGGAGGAAGGCCTTACCTAAGAGGGGTGCAAAGGTGAGGTTTGGGGTTGGCTTGTTGGGGTTTGGTTGGGTTTTTTTGTGCAGCTCTGGGCTGGTCTTGTTTCTGGCTGCCTTGAGAGTTCATCCTTTTGTTTTCTTTAGTGCCTAGCAAGACATATAAAAATCAAGGGACTGATACAAGGGCTTCTGTGACAGCAGAATAACTTGGTCCATCCAGAAAGCTTAAAATAGCTCGCAGAAAGGAAAGTTGCAGTAATTAACATTGCATGTAACTATCATGAGTTATGAATTATTTTGTTTTGTCAACAGTCCACTCACAAGCTGCTGAGCTTCTTACATGTGCTTTTGCTAAGCCATGTCATTTTCTCTGCTAGTCAGTTGACCCTGGCCTGTCTTTCCTCCTCTGCCTCTCTCCTCCTTCTGGCTGGAAGGACTGGGGGTTATCCCTGCAGTACAAGGGGCACCGTGGAGCCCAGTGTAACAACTGCCCAGCAGGGCAGGAAGGATTCCACGGTCCTGCTGGTAAAGCCTACTTGGAGCTGGAGGCCACAACAGCCTCCTCCCCTCCCAGTTCAAATAACCACAGTTATACACCTGTTGCCTATTTATACAATAAGCACTAAGGTTACACTTTATTTACAACTTTTGAAAAATGTACAGTTTCTTACATGGGTTACTTGTGCAAAGTTAAACTTCTCAACTAACAGACCAATGTGCACACAGAAGACACCGGAACAGTGGACAACACAATTGTAGGATTCATCCCACACTGCTGCTTAAGGTACTGTATCCAAATGTACAAACTTAGCCTTACAAAAAAAGTGAGTCTGGACTTATAAATGTTTCTTTTTTTTCAGAGTTGAAAAAAATACTTTCATAAAACTGAAGGGAAACTCAAGCATGCAGCAGTAGCTCACACAAACCACACAGTAATCTACAAAGAGCAGAAACTTCAAAGACTCAAGTGCCTACCCCATTCTGTATTCATTCTTGTCATGAGGCAAAGTTGGATCCCAAAGAACTTATCTTTCTTGGCTAAAGATAAGGGGTGGGAGAAAGACACTGAAGGAGAGTACTCCCACCACGGGAACACTTCAGGTTTTATTCTTCCTTAATGTGGAAGGTCTTTTGCTCAGAGTACCACAGCTCTACCTGGTTTTGTCCAGTAATGCCTCAGTGACTGGACTATAGAAACTCATTGACACAGTCTCCAGAGGCATGTCCTTTAAAATAAAAGAGGGGTTGTTTCTCACCCTAAACCAAGATCAAAGTACCACAACCTTAGTGATTTATGTATATCTATACATAAATCTTGCAGGGGCAGTACAGAAGCACCTAGCATTCCACAGTCTTACTAAATATTTTAATTTGAATCAATTTAAGAGTTGTTGGGGTTTTTTTCCATGATAAATCAATATAAAAGGGAAATGAGGTTATTTCTTCACTCAGTACTTACAAACGCAGTGGGGGTCTAAACCAAAATGACCAGCCTGGACAGATCAGCACTTTAGTTAATATCAGTTAAAAAATGTGTATGTATATAAACATCCCTTTTATCAAGCTACACATAAGCATCACTGTGTATAACACAATTACAATTAAAAGCTTAGTGTACACTACAGAAATGCACAATACTGCCCTAAGACTGGAGAGGGACCACAGAAAATGAATTCAGCATCAGTAACTCTTTTGCAAGTAACCCAAGTACAGAACATTTTGACTTCAAAGTGGGTGCTTTCTGATGTCCAAGGAGAAGCTTCAGCAAGGGAGGGTGGCAACAGCACAACAGCTATTCTGCTTTCAAAGTAAATGCTAGGAGGAAAAAGATGACTCAGACACTTTATTTTCCTCAACAGAGTGTTCATTTGCATCATCCTGGGTCAACAGTCACGCCAGCTCTGTTCTACTATTGCAGAAACCCGTTTTTCATATTCCCGCTTATTCTCTTGGTATAGCTGAGCTGCCTGGCTGTTTGCTGGGCTGTTGGGATTTGGCTCATCCAATAGGGACTGTGCAAAGAGAAAAACATTCTTAGGCACTTAAAAGCATGCAGAGTTTTCCAACATACTCAAAACTATCCCTAGGAAGGAGTACAGCAGTTGATCCAGACACAGGTAAGGGACATGGCACGCCTGCAGCCCCGAGTTACTGGAAGCTGCTCCCAGGCTGACTCCTGCAGCACATGTGGCTGCTCAGCCCACAGTGCAGTCCCTGGATGGTCCCTTGGGTGGCCACCTGCTGTCACTGGCCAGTCCATTTGCAGCTGAGAAGGACTCACACTTTAGCAAAGAACAAGGTATGGCTGCTCTCCTGGCTCTCAGGAGAGGACTAAAGTGTTTCCTGAGCTGTTTTGCTGTAGCATTCTAATTTAAATCTGCCTTTGCAGGCAGAATTGTTTTTACCTGTATGGATGTTAAGATGGAGGAGACATCATAGGTAGGACTCCAGCGATTCTGAAGAATATCCAGACATATACTACCATCTGCATAAACTAGAAAGGGTTCAAGAAGAATGACTTTAAACACAAGTTATACAGCTATTAATTTTTTTCCTAGTATTCTCTGATCCCAAAAACAGTGTCTGACAGACTTAAATCCAGCAAACAAGCCTGTAAGGTAGGAGGAGGTGAAGCTTCTGACAGCTGCCTGAGATATTTACCTTCAACCCCTGCTTATTCTTCTACATCCAGCTGTTCTGTGACATTGTAACTACCACTATGGAAAACCATAAATAGATTTTAAAGCAAAAAAACCTGAAACTACCCAGAAGTGAACCAAATAAAGAACGCAAGCAAAAAGCTGTCTACACATAAGGCTTCCCCAGAAAGTACCTACAACAGTCAGTGTCTAGACAGCTTTCCCACAGCAGCTTTAGAATAACCCTCCCTCAGGGCACTTTACCCACACGTGCTAACTTGCTGCACTGCAGGTTTCCAGCATTTCTTCACAACACTAGTATTTGTTTGAAAGCAAGGAATGTATCTCCAGCCTTTAATTACCAAGAAAGGCAATTAAACCATCTTACTACCACTGGCTGTAGAAGGAAACTAGCACTACATTTCAAGGTGTATGGTTCTTACAGACGTTTTTGGGAACAAAGTGATACAAGACAACTGCGAGCAGCAGTGTCAGCATGCTGTGTGTGCACTACAGGTAAACAGCAGTCCAGGACACTGCTATTTAGGTACAAAATATTATTCTGTAAGGTTACACAAGACAGTTTTGAGAGAAGAAGGTCTCAATACTGTGCTGTAACACCTGAAAGGAAGAAGCTCCTTTTATCGCCCCTTTCGTTTCACTGCCCACATGTACATCCTTGCCAAAACTACACAGAACCACACTGGATTTTGCTACCTTATTAAATAGTGGAAACTTTGGAAATAAGTAGACCTTTTTTCTGCAGCATTATAAACAACTTAAACAAAAAAACCAACACACCATTGTGTAAGGACTTACCATTTGGATGAAACATTTTAGAGACAAATCTAACAGTAGGTGGCTTGTTTGGATATTCTTCTGTGAATTCTATTGTAAGTTTGAACGTTCCTGGAGTGGAAAGAGAGACAAGTAACCTTTATTTGAATGAATGTACACAAGGGATCAGCAAGTAGCATCCCTCCACAAGCACAAACTGATGCTATTGCCCTTATACATGCATGTTGGATATGGAATAATTACTCAGTCCTGCAATGATTCTGCTGCTCTCTCTTGAATTAATAATTAACTCTGAAGTCCTAGACAGTACTGGTACCAGAGTATCTCCTGTCACTTACATTTATTGCCAAAATCACCACCCCAGTCAAAATGTTTGTGTAAGGAAATACACCTGCCCTTGAGGTTTTCTTCCACAAAGCGTAATCCCAGTGCACTGTAAAAACAACACAAGGGGGTGTATAACCATCTGTGTAACAGACCATGATTTAATAAATCCTAGAGACCAGAATAGGCTACCATGACAAGAAACTTCTTATTCATTTCTTGTTTAAATTTCAAGAAAATGCATTTTTTCCAACAACTGTAAGGTTATGGTCTTACTACAGAAAAGTAGAATTGAAAGCAGCATCCAAATCAGATAATTTAAAACAAAAATCTGGTAATTTACTTCACACTAACTAATCTGTCTTTGAGAGTGATTAAGCAGAAACAGAAAATGCTGCAGTTAAGTCTCAATCTGATCATTTAAACAGGCTGCACCAACACAAGTTCCTTTAGCCCTTCTCCTCAGGCTGTGACAATCGTGAGACATCTGTCAACCAAGCTGCAGAAGCACTGCTACTGATTCAGATCAGTAACTAAAGAACTCAACACATTCCACTTCACAACATGTGAGCCATCACCTCAGACCAATGAATCTGGGAGGCAGCTCCTAAGTTCCTGCACACACCCATACGTAAGTATCTGAAGCACCTCCATATAAACATTCAGGTCTCCTGTGAAAGGAATGCACCTGACAGTAACAGATGTAACAAGCTGCCAGGAGAATGCCTTTTTTGAAAAGGCATTCTTACCTGTCAGTGACAGGCTTACCTCCCACCAAAACTCAGTGTCCAAACTAAAACTCAGGGGCTCAGATGTAAAGCTCATCCTTGCTTCCTACTGTGAGGGAGCTTTCCAGCACTAATATAATTAATGTATTGCTTTATTTGGCTGGCAAACATATGCCAACAACTGGTAGCCAGAGAATAGATTTTTTCAACCTATTATTTTTTTTTAGATCAGTAAGGCCCAGCAGGATTTCCCAGAGACTCTTTATAAGGAGAAAAATTCTAACATTGAGTTGCAAGAAATGAAGGTCATTGATTTGACGTTCCAGTTTGCATAGGAAGACAGAGTACAGATGCTTCAGAGCTTTCTGCACAGCAGTAGGAAGCCTCAACATCCTAAAAATAAGGTCTTGCATGCTTATTTTTCATTAGCAGCCTAATAACATAGAAGCAGAGAGCCAAAGCGCTATCCTACTGTAAAACAAAAGGAACAAGAGTGGTATCGTTAACATTGTTCAAATTACTGGAAGGCTGCAGTGGGGCTTCCAAGCTTTACTCTGGCTAACCCAGAGGCACAGAGCCAGATCCAAGGCCAGTTTGAAAGCCAGCACTGGAAAAGTTACAACTTTTACCAGCTGCAAACATCAGCTTGGGGCTACCTTCCCTTC